TAAAATATATTCCGCCTTATAAAAGCGCAAATAATAATTTCTAATAGATCCACGTAATTCTAAAAAAGAAAAAAGAGAAATATGATACACTGCACCTACATTTCGGAGTGACATTTTCACGAGTAATCATCGTTATTTCCAACGGGTTATCTCTATTCTGTGACGCGAGAGTGAAGCGTGGTTACGTCATTTTTCTAAATTTTCCACGCATCCGCGATTCCGTGCAACGGGCTCGTTTGACAAATATCTTTACTTCTTTCCAACGGAAAAATTACCACGGTCGCTCTAGCATTAACATCAAGTAAACAAATATGTCTGTTCACGGTGAGGTGAATCGAGGTTTAAGGCATAATATAAGGAGAAATACGACAACTGACGCCAAAGAGATAAAATGAACTTGATTCACAAATTAAATCGAATACAAGGTAAATGAACATATCATTAGCTTAAAGAGCTTCAAACGTGCAAGCTTCAATTAAACAATACAAGTGCGGTACAGAAGGTCAGTTAAATTAAGCAGTTAACGGCGAAGTATAAAGGAAAAACAGACAAATAAATATTTTAACATGCTGCGGACAACTTGTACAAAATACTCGCGCGATATTCGAGAGATGGTACTTGCCGCGGTTGAGCACTGGAGCTGATCTGCCGCTGCGTGCCGCTTAAACAGATTGGCTTCGCTCGCGGCCTGCGTGGCTCGTATCAAACGCTTAAATCGCGCCCATCGATGGCTCATAATCATTGCAAATATTGTATTAATCTCTGACCCACATCGATTCGCTTCGATCGCGCCGATCAATGGCTCAAAGGGATAAATTGATAAAAACTCAATATCCATCGTCGATGGTCAAGTTCGGAAGTCAATCTCCCGACCAGTCTGGCTATCGCAGCGTACATACTTAGGCGTTAAGTTTTAACAACGAAATTACACTTTGCGAGCTTGGATATGAGGTAACGCTACAATATAGTTACCTAAATGTAATAGGTTACATTGACAAATGAAACGATGTCGATGCAAATGACGAAACTCCGTAAAGGTTTCAAACTGCAATATTTCAGTTATACAGCAAGATTTGTTAAAGTAACAAGATCATTCGATCTACTAACAATTGTGTCCGACGCTTCGATGGAGTCGAAATTCAAAAGCTCAGCTCGATCGGACGCATGCCCCTCGTAGAAGCTCAAAAACGCACCGATTTCGATCGACATCAAATTTATAGCTTTGCGCATTGCCTTATTGTCGCAACTGTCGCTTCCGATTCACCAGTTGATAACGGTACGAATCTCCATGATGATTAGATTACATTCTACAATATAATCTACAACAAACATCTAGACCACGTCGTAACATTCCAGTCATATTACTTACTAATATAACAAGTTTTCCAAACCCACTTCCGAGTACGTTTCTCGATACTTTTCTCGACTCTTTGTTCGCACGCTGGTCAACTTATAATTTTATGACTTCACAGAGGATGGTGGAATTCGAGACACAAAAAAAAGACGATAAAAGATCTGGTCGCGCGGTGTTTTCCCGGCACTTGAGGGATCGATAATATACCCTCTTCACACTTTGGGCTGTTAAGTTTTAACACAGTGACACTGGACCGGCTGACCATAAATTTCAGTTTAACAACTCAAGGGCGCGCACCGCGAACGAAAAAAAACACAGGTGCGATGTCACAAAGGAAAGAGAAGAAATAAGGAACTGCAGCGCAGATGAGGTTGAGCGAGAAACATTTAATTACTCGTGGATATTCAGAATATTGAGAACGCGAGTTGCCGTCCAGGGTTGGCGTTGCCATCCGGAACAATGTCTGTTGGAGGTGTGTAGCCCCGCTCGCGAGCGCAAATGGTATACTTTTGTACTGGGAATAATGGCTTTTACTGTTTTGTTTTGTTGTGTTTTTCTTTTCTCCGCCTACAATGCTTTTTACTCGAGCCATTGTCATCGCAAAAAATACATCGTCGTTTTCGCGATGCGAATGCTTCTCTCTCTCCCCCCACTTCCTCTCGGTCAGTGAGCTTGACCTGCTATCCAATAATAGTGGAAATAGACTTTGAATAATTTGAAAATATTCCACCTACTTTCTGGCTCCAGGCTAAGTTGTTATTCCAACGCACGATAAAATATTATTAATTTCGGTAGGAAAAGATTAGTAATTTCATAAAATATCATTGATTTGCCTTACGCATCGTGTATATTTTCAATATGCATTGCATTTTTTGTAATTGAAGTGTGATATTGTCCTTGATACATATATTTCATTAATTATCTTGCGACTACTCGTCTTTTACATAAAAAACTTCTTTATATTCATGAAAAAATCAGGTACCTCAAGAAAACCGCCGTCTTAATTAGAACACTCTCATATGCCAGTCTGGCTCGTGTTAAACTTGAGAAGAAATTCTTTTCGTGCAGAGAATTTTTCAACTTCTATTTCAGAGTGAAAAAAATCTTTTGTTCAAAACATTTGAAGCAAAGTATTAAGACAATTTATCTGACAATTAATTATACAAAGTATTTCGATTTGATTATTTTACAAAAATTAGGTTTAATAATTGGCGTTGTATCTTTCATAAAAAGCTAATATGTAAAGCAGTTACAAACGTAATTTAATTAAGGCTACACATTGAAAACAAGCGAAACGTAATTACGAAAATGATGCGAGCTTAGCTTCAAACGTCTTGCTTAATTTATAGCAAATTAAATAACGAAACATTCATAGCGAACATACGAAAAAATTTCTTTTGTTTGCAAGAGACAGATATCTAACCCGACTTGATTTTCGTTAGACTGATGTCGTTACGTCACTGTATAACAAGAAAAGAAAGCCTACGTACGCATAAACTTAATCGGATTATCAGTCAAGTCACGTCATTATCTTACTGTTCTGCGCGCGATGACAATCACATCAAAATGTTGCAGGATTATTTTTTTTTCTTGTCGTTATTGTCAAAAGCTTCGGACATGGCTAATTAAAATTTAAAACGGAAGCGGCTTCGCGTGATTTATTTTTCCGTAATGGGCGCGCAAGAGAACAAAAGAACGGGAATGCTTTTGCACGTGCTCGAACAAAGCAGGTGCGATAATTAATTAGATTTAAGTTTGTTTTTTTTAATTTTTTCAAAGCGCATGGTTCAACTTTAACGGACAATTTTTTGTTATGCTGAAAGAACGTTAAAATTTTATTAATATTTACTTACTCTTTGTATTAATTTTCGCCTTATATCAACATTAAATTAAATTAATTAGGTTAATTATTTAGATAAACATGATCTAACAGATCTAAATTTGTAAGAATATTTTAAGTCTTTAGAATTATTGTTCGATTTTTGTATTTCCAAAAATTGATTATTATTTCAAAATATCTTATAAAACTAGTAATCTCAGTCATATATATCAAAGAAATTTTTGGCTCATATAATTTAAGAAATAAATGTCATAGTACAAGAAAAATTTACTTGCAATTGTAGAGATTTTTAAAACAAGGAAAAATCATTCAAAATATTTTTTTATTATTTTATAGAAATAATACAATTTTAATCTAGGATTATTAACTCACTAGTTAATTACGCACTGGTCCTCAAAGTTTCAAATTTTTTTTACACAGCGGAGAAAAGCCACCTTTTTTTAGTAATAACCGGTTGAGCCTTGTTAAATATAGATTAACGAACGATAGTTTCGTACAAAAATAGTTTGGATTTTTAACAAATAAAAGGATCGTTGTATTGTAGTTATTAATATTATATGGGTTTATTATGATATAGCAGTTGAAACTCATTGTAATAATTGTTTTGCGTTCATTAGGTTGTTATATCCATTTATAGTTATAGATGAATTTCATTAATTTATCATCTATTTTTGAAAGATATTTCAAACAAATGCTGATTACTGTTTTACAACTTTAAAAGTGTATTTTTGAAATATTTTGTTAATATGTAAATTTATAGCAGATGGAAATAAATTAAAGTGACTTAATACATATTATTCACGATAAACCGGATTCCTCAAACTGAATTAACAATTTATACGTTTCCGAAGATAGTTTTTTTTACACTGACAACTTTACGGTTCGAAATAGCTACGGCTTTCGAGAAAGCAATTTAGTTTCGACGGAATCCTTCGTACCACTAATAACAAAAGATAGGTTTTCGTTTCGCTTTTTCTGAACTAGATTATTTACCAAACGCTTTGCCTTCCTATTGATTCTAAAATATTTCAATCAAAGATATAAATCGGTAGAATGTATCGTGAATCAGGTTATTTAATGCGCCAGATACAAATGGATAGAATACATCGTGAGTCAGGTTATTTGATGCTCCGGAGCTCGCGAAACAATTTCCAAACTCATTGTAATCCATCTTACTACGCTCTCGATTGGAGAAGCACTAAACAGATGTAACAATTGAAGCTCGTTTTCCGGAGATTAGAATCAGCCATTTCCCACCTCCCCCTTTAGGCAATAGTTCAAGGTATACGTGACTGGAAGCTCAATAAGATAATTCAATCGTAATGAGGCTCTTGAAATTCGATATTTTTTTCACTCGTACTTTAAAAAGACTGTCAGTCTTATTCTATTGCACTTGCGCAGACATCTTTGTGATAAATTATTGAAAACGAACTTTTTTATCGATGGTGATTTTTCTAATGCTTCTTTAAACTTTCAGCTCAAAGCTTTTCGTTTTTCTCTTTTTTTTTTACGAAGCTCTATTTTCGAGAACAAAGTTAGCTATCGAGATAATCTACTGGAGAAAGAGAGACTTCATTTCTCCCGCGCTCGCGCTTGAAAGTTTTTAAATCTGTTTGGATCACGCTAATCTATTTCTTTTTCACACTTGATTGAATTTTCTACCAAGTTAAACATATGATTTTCGTTTTTCTGTCTTCTCCATTTAAAGTTTGAGAAAAACTTTGAATAAGCTACATTAAGTTTCACCCAAATATCATCGATTTAATTTCATCAACTTTTGTTAATAGGATTTCGAGGAAGACTTACCATTCCTTCGCCAAAGTTATGTACGACGCATGGTAGATGTGCAGTCGAGCCAGACTGAGCGCGTATCACGGTGGAGTTCTCAGTACCGAAACTCATGGGTAGTGTTGGTGGCAGATCGACGTCCAATGGCTTAAGCGTCGCGTCAAGTTCATTGTGATTGACGCCGGAGAGTTCAGCTTCGGCTCTTGCTCCTGGATATTCTGCAATGTGTAGTAAACATGAATTTGAGTTTTCTGCGAAAACGAGTGTAACTTTGGTGAAGCTTATTTTTCCTCTGATTTTTCAACTTTTCGATAAAGTATAAAAAGTTTGGTGAAATGAAAGGAAAAGAGTCCAATTTTCTTTTAATTAATTGAAATAATATTGTTCCAGCGTATTTATAGACTATAAGTATCTTGAGAAATTGTATAAATGTAAATTGTACGCCAATCAAAATAACAAATGAAACTCTTCATTCGGAAGAAAGAAACGTTTTTAGGAGTGATAATTTATATACCAGAAAAATCCATGAACTATAGCTGGATAATTAGTAGAACAAATGTATCATAAATTCTCAAGTTTCGAAATCCATATACTAACAACTAGATGAGAAGCACTGTCCAACTAACGATGATAAGCTCACTTAGCAATATAGAGTTTGAAGTGAGATATTTTACCGAAATACCAATTAAATCAGTGGCGAGCTATTCTACAAGTATATTTGTATTAAACTGCAATAGTTTTATGAAAGCATGCAGTTCTACCGATAAACGAATTTTTTTTTCATATTTCCGAGCTGCTGATTGAATTTATAAAGTGCTATATCGAACGTGAAATGCAACTTATTAAGCTTCAATATTGGACTCAGATCAAACAAATGAATGGATTCACTTTAATAAGCAACGTATTGTTATCGTATTTCCATTTCAATGTGTAATGAAAATATCACTCGAGAACGTATAATTCAAAAAGCACACACACACACACACACACACACACACACACACACACACACACAGTCAGGCCTACACGTAGGAGGAGCGTTGAAAAAGAAAAAAAATGGAAGGAGGCACAATTACCAAGTGAATTATCGCTGACGAGAATTACACAAGCGGGTGATCGTAAAAGTAATTCGTTGGCTCACTCGCACTCTCTCGCGCGCGCGCACACTCACACACACGCACACACACACACACACACACACACACACACACACACACACACACACACACACACACACACACACACACACACACACACACACACACACACACACATGTACGATCCGGTAGACGGGGGCGCGTCGAGGATCTCTCGTGAGCCGAGGATATAAAAAAAAGAAAGAAAGAAAGAACGTTAGGTCGTTACCGTTACCACGAGCGGTGGGAATCGCAGCTTAAGGGGCGAGTAAAAAAGTGGTCTTGGAAGGGGAGGAAGAGGACGGTTAAGAGGATTTCGGAAATTCCGCGTGTGTTTGTCGAATTCCCATGTACGCGCGAGCGGAGCTTTCTAAACGAGCTACTCGCGATTTCGGGAATTCCGTTAATTAAAGAACTAATAGCGAAACGGAAATCAGCGGTTCCTTTCCTAGTTGTTGTTTTTCGGAGCCACACGTCGAGACCTCTTTACTGACAACTCTGATGTGTTTTACATTTTGCCAATTTGTGTCATTGTTTGCATCAGTGTAAGTCAAATTTTCATCTCATTAAACGTGACAACTCTTAGCAATTTGGAATGAAAAAATTTCTCACTAGCCCATTTTTAAATGCATTCGTTCCGCACTTGAACTTACTGAAGAATGAGTAAAGAAAAATTTGTCAAGTTGTTTTTATTTTCGCAGCTATATATAGCCAGCAGCATTTGAATATCGACTGGGAAGTAACCAATTCCAACAGAAAGCAACTTCATAACTTTGCCCAAAAAAGAGAACTCTTGCCGATAGTCGAATAAATCACGCAGGTCGCGGTGGAAAATAGTCGAGTCAATTTTTCGAAGAGTAATGGTCGAGTGACAGCAGTCTAACGGCTGGGTGAAATATATTAATATCGCTCATAGCCATTTGAGCTTAATTCATTAATCATACCGCAAACAAAGATCTTCTGTCGACCTTCAGAAACAAATATGAAAATTGACAGACATTTTACATCAAAATTAAAGGACAGTGAAAAAACGCAAACAAATCCATTAGCAAAGTTTCGACATTTCGACCAATCTATACACATTCAGGTATTCACAGCGAATATCAAGAGGAAACAATGCCACATCCATCGTGACGACGTGGCGCTGAAACAAAAGACACGGAAAAATAAAACAAAAACAAACAAGTGCTTTTGCGTGGAGTGGAAGCGTTATTATCACGAATCTCCGCTATCAGTTTCATTGTCCGCTCTGCCTACGCGACATCCGTCAAAGAGTAAAAACGGAGAGACGTTATAGTGCTGCTCGGACGATGAATCACAGACGTCGCATTTTTCCCTCCACACGATCATTAATTCTGCACTGTGCCGTCGCTAAATGTAATCTCTCGGCAGTGAGGGTATATGCGGATAAAAATGGCAATATCATAAAGACGACCAAATTCCGAAGACCACGGAATCCCTCGCAGTTAATGAATCGAGAAACTGCAAAACTATTTGAAGCGTTGTAAAAGTGTAAAGCGATGAACGTGTGAGAGGCACTTTTGCTTCAAAATGATCGTCGCGCTCGCGAGAGAGAGAGAGAGAGAGCGGAATTTATAATCGACGTTATATCTTTCAACTTTGTGAAGCATGGAATTTTTATGACGGCAATTAAAAGCGCTTTAGATAATTTTGGCTTTTTTCACTAATTCCTGGCATTTAATCTGTTGGTCGCTGCTCTACGTGCGTATAATCCTTTCTGGTTGTCAGTTATCATTTTGAATAATAATACGGAAAAAGTGCTGATAATTTAAAGTAAACTGACTTGTGTCTCTTCAGAGAAATTGAAAACGTGTACGTGGCTAAGTTCAATAAATATATGTTTGTCGAAACTTTCTCTTTGCCAACGAGTAAACGGTTGAATGAAAATCCTTTAAGATTTGGCGACGTAACATACAATTTTCAAAATTCCTGGTCTCACTCGTTTGAGAATTTGCCGCGCAATCCCAAGTTTCACTGCTCCATAAATATTGATACCAAAGCTTTAGCTTCAAATATTGGGTTACACAGCAATCAATGCCACCGAGGAGAACTAACGTGACTAGTGCTAACAATATGCTACACTGAATTCCAGTCTAAATTGCACAGAACAGTACTGTAGCTTTTAACAAGATTAATTTTACAATGAATAAGATAGTAAAGATAAGAAAATAATAAAAAAATCAAAAAGTAATACTTATTTATAATTATAATCGAGTAGTTTTAGATGTTGATTGACATCAAATTCAATCAGGAGAAATAAAATGATAAAATTTAATTTCGTTGAACCCTTCAGGTATAATCGATATTACAAAAGTGCGATAACAATTGGCGATATTGATCAGTCAAACTTTGATATATTTGAAATTAAATGTTTAGAATATGGTACATTCACACAATTAAATACTGAAATATCTTGGTGAAAATTTACGAGCAGACGCTCACGACCACTAAGCAAAAAAGAGCTTGCGATTTATTTGGTGGAAAAAGGAGAACAAAACATGTGTAAGTTTACCAAGCCGTCAGTGGCTCTTAAAGAAAAGAAACTCATAAAAAGTTAAGTGTACTTTTGGTCACGGCAACTTTTACTCTACGGAAAATTTCTATTTTCTCTGCCAGTGTAATTAAACTTAGAAAAGTAAGTCTCTAAACGTTCGGAAGAAAAAGCAAAGCTTCAAACTTGCAAAAAAAGGAGCGAGTCAGCGAGGAAATTGAGTCGCCTCATAATCAGTATAATTGGGGCCGAGCTCGCGCGTACGTTTTCGGGTAAAACGAATTAGCCTAATTTGCAAAAGAGATGGAGAGAGAAAAGGGAAGGACAAACACAAGAGACATCGGCTTTGAATTTCTCTTGGGTTCAGCGGCGGTACGGCGCTGCACTTACGCTTACTTGGCAAACGTGCGCCCGTTGTGGTTGCTCCACGGACGTACGTATCTCTTCTCTTTTTGTCCTGCGGTCCATGTGATTAGGTTGTCGTAAGGTGAAACGCTCTTCCTATATGTCTCTCTTTTGCTCTTTAATCTTGAGTACTTTCAGCTGTGCCGTACAGGTTTTGAAAGTACTAATACTTGTGCTTATTTACTTTTGAATAGAAAAATAAAGAGAAAGGTCACAGTTTCATTCTACTTGAAAGATTTGTTTTCTTTGACAGAAATTAAATGAAATTTATTCCTTTGACTCAAAGATGACAAATGTATTTTAAAAATGTGCACTATTTGAGTCCATGTTTTAACTTAAATTATTAGAATATATTTCATTTTCATGTATGAAATAGAATAAATGTGGCATTAATAATAGAAATTTTACATATTGCTTTACTGTACTTATACTTCAAATATAGTTCAGTCATGACCTTGACTACATACGAGTTTGATATATTATAACGTATAATTTTCATGAATATATGTTCGAAATTACTTCGTAGCTGTAATAATGTTTGAAAAGCTCTGTAAACTTTACTCAAAATGTCTACGAAAATTAGTTCGAAAATTCAAAACGTATTAGGTTATTTAAGGGTTATTCATCTCTAAAACATTCATGGATATTTAATTTTCCATTGCAACTCAGAAAAATTAATAAACAATTATAATATTTCAAAAAGCAATCGCCTAATAAAAAATTTCAATAAGAATTATGAAAACCTCCAAAAGAAAACATTCAGTCTCGTAAACAGCTTGTGAAACAAAAAATTTTAACCTGATTCCTTCGCAAGAGCACGTAAAAGTAACAGCAGCTTTACAAGGTGTAAATTTACCTTGGGGGCGAAAATTTCGTCTCATGCCGCGTAGATTTTTGCATGCTTCGTCTCTTACGGACTTAATTTTTCATGCGCTTTTTTTCCGCTCGTCGTCTCGCTGCTCACGCGCCTGGAATAAAACGTGTGAACGCTTGTATTTCGACTAATGAGCGCGAGATTTTACCCTCCTTCCATCCTATGCGTACTTACAGAAACGTAAAACCAAGGCATGTATTTGCGACAACGACGATGATGATGTTGTTAGCTCGGGCAAATAGTATTTTACTACCATACATTTTCTTTTCTTTTCTTACTTGAGTTAATGTA